TCCATCCATCCATCCATCCATCCATCCATCCATCCATCCATCCATCCATCCATCCATCCATCCATCCATCCATCCATCCATCCATCCATCCATCCATCCATCCATCCATCCATCTATCTATCTATCTTTCTTTTCTTATTCTATTCTTTTTGCTTATTTATTTTTTTCTCTCTCTCTGGAAAGAAGCACAGAGAAATCTTGTTCTCTTTCTTTCTTTCTTTCTTTCTTTCTTTCTTTCGGAGATAATACAAAATATGAATACTACAGAAAGACATAAAACTTTACAAATTATGTGTCCACTTTTGTAGGCTCAATAGTGTCATATGTAAATAAAATGTTCTAAACTATATTGAAATCATTGAAGTGATTACAAATATTGGATATAATAAAATCACATTAAATAAATAAAGCAATATAAAACAAACAAAAGGTATAACAATTTAGGTATACAATAAAAATTAATTCAACCATTTCAAACCATTTAAACTTTCATTTTACAAAGGTCTCTCTGAAAAAAAAAAATTATACAAACGGAGGAGTTTTGTAATATTACTTATAAACTATTTGGATACGATCAAATTAATCAAATCGTGCAAACAGAGCATTTTTAAGCGAGTGAAACTACCTTTTTTGCCAAAGGTAATTCACCTTTGCTGAATAAATGAACTGAAGATAATTAACAAATATGTGAATGGACAACTAGTATATCTCATTAGCTCTCAAAAGTCAAACATCTTCTAAAAAAAGTCTATATTTGAAATGATTTATTATCTATGATTTAGTCTCCTCCAACTGTATCGCACAATTTCCTTTCTCAAGCATCAGTCATGTGACTCCAAACACAAGATAATATGACAGAATATGTGTCGTCTGCCATTCTGTGGCACAACTTATTTGCTAATGGCGAGTTCAGACTATGATTTTAGCCCCAATTGTGACTCACCGACAGGTTTTGAGAAATCGCAGACAAATGGCTGAAATCGCAGGCAATCGGTGCTCGTGCACGTGAGTGACAATCACACAGTATGAACTATTAAAGACGCCATCTGAGAGAATCGCCGATTAGAGGAAATGTGATATGTGAGATATTTGGCGTGCTAAATATTTGGAGCTGTCTGCGATTCAAATCATGTCATGTGAAATAAGTTTTGACTGAAAATAACATCAGCCATCGCCTACAGCCAAAGAGAGAGCAGCATTCACTTGTGTGTGTGTACCTGCTGCAGGCCAGCGGGAGGTTGAGGGAGAAGTTAAAAGCGCTCATTTTCGTTTTTTTGGACCCAAAAAATGGATGAAAAACTAGTGAAGGTTTGACAGGAGCACCCATGTCTGTTTGACGTTTCATACAGAAACTTAAAAAAGAAAGTTGAGGAGAAATTGCTAATTCCCTTCAAACTCAGGTGGGCAAATATGTACATTTTCTACCACATTAAAGGCTTCTTTCTCGTTATGTAGTTAATAACAAAAGATATACTGCATGTTTTTGGCTTTGATACACAGTTTGGACAAAGTTGTCGGCGATTCTTCCTATTGTAAAGTCATGCAATGTGAAACCCCCTGTCCCTGATCTATCTTGCAGTGTAAACAATACAGCGACAAAACGCTAGCCCAGATAGTCATGCAGTGTGAAAACATCTGGGACACGACTACTTTAAAAATCATGCAGTCGGATCTTGGCGTAAGGGAAATGAAATAAAAAAGCAAGCTTGCGGAAATCATAATTTTTTACAATTTCTCTCACAAATTTTTTGTTTTTACCCATTCTCTTAAAATTGGAAGCTTTTTTGTGTGGTACTTTCATTTTGTATAAAGTAAATTCACAACTTTGAATAGAGACACAGCTTATGACAACTTGGCACACAAATAATGATTGTTTTTCTGTCTGTTTTCAATGCTAAGTACTGGTGTGTTCTCATAGAAACCTCAGCTGTGCCAGTGATACAGAAAGGATTTCTATGAGGAGCTGCCCACGACTTATCGACTCCCTCGTGACTTACATTCAGACGCAGGTGGAACGAGGAGAGCTGGATGACAAGGTGATTCTACTTTTATTGCTGATACAGGAAAATAGACAGACATCTATGCCCTTAGACTAAATGCAAAAACCATTGACATGTCTCTAATATTAATTAAATTTTTAGTACAAATAAATGTAGATATTACATTACGTAGTTTGCAGTAGCATTAAAAAAGTTTCACCAATCAATATATTTGTTTTATATACTACTATTTGTATATTACTATTACATCCACAAACTTTTGACCAGTTTAATTTTATTAAAGGGAAAGTTCACACAAGAATTCAATCATAATTTACTCACCCTTCACTTGTTCAAAATTTGAGTTTTTTGTGTGTTAAACAGAAAAGATGATGTTTAAAATAAATGCTAGTTGTTTGGAATTATTAGCTATGTTTCCATCCAAAAATGCGAATGAACTTTATGCGCAAAACTGAATGAATCTCCATTATGAACGACTCGTTCACTTAAGTAATTAGCTGACAAAAATACAAGTTTCTAGCACCACAGCATCTTGTTGTCATATTTATTTTTCATTGCTTGCTGATTTTATTCAACAAAACTAGCATAAGCGTAGTATTAGTGCGAGTTGGTGCTACTTTGCCCTGTGGTCAGTGCAGTAAGTGACTTTATCATCATCAATAACGTTACATGTTGAGCACATAAGTTCTTAACATACAAAAAAAACTATAATCTTACCTATGAAATGTTCTGTCGTTGTGCTTTGTTTTCTTTGTTTGCTTGTTACTACAACCGTACACAGCGCTAAAGTCCAGCATCTTCACGTTGGCACACTGTCTTGACTAGTGCGGTTGAATGACATTTGAGCTGGGAGACCTGTACTAATGTGGCGGCGCTATCGATGTGATATTTTGTGTATATGACTTTTAACAAAGTATTGAGTTCAAAAAAGTGATGTAATTATTGAATTGACATTTTTTTTAAATATTTGTCAATGCCATTATATAATAAGTACTGTACTTTTCATTTTATACATGAAAATGGTTCCCGAGCAGAAATGTGTGCATCACAGACCAGCTCTGCCGTGTTTAGTTCCAGTGATCATTTGTTTTTGAACTAATAGTTTGAGTAAGCAAGTCAGTGTTCCACTCACACAGATACTTGATTCCTTTGTAAATAAATAAGATGTTTTGAATCTTTTAAATAGATTCTGTATGAATTAATATAGATATCTAATCTCAGATCTATCTTTTAAAAGTTTGGTAACACTTTATTTTGATGAATTTGGGTATTAGTAGACTGTCTGCTTAATATATGTTGTGACTGCTCCTTCAACATTCATTTAACTGACTATAAGAAACTTTGCAAGTTCAAGTCAACTTACACTAACCCTAACCCCAACCTAACAGTGTACTTATAATCTAACGAGAATTAGTTGGCATGTTGATGCAATGTAACTTAAATTCAACAAACGGACCATCAAATTAAAGTGTAACCGAATATTTTCTATTCGCCTTTTTCTCCATGTACGAGTGGGCACAGCCATTTGAATCTTTTTGGCTCGAGACTTTCAGTCTCATTCTCTTCCATTCATTTTTAGATGTTAGAAACAGCTTGTTCTGCTGCTTGATGATGCAAACTGATTTTGATCTGTATAATCATGCAAACACTTGTTTGTAGAGCAAGCAGTTTCTGTATATATATTATATATATATATACACAACAGTTCTGTCTGGTTCTCAAATCTGATTGGCTGATAGCCGTGATATATTTAAGTAATATCAGCACCCGTACAGCCTCTTTACCCTTTGTGTATTACTCCGCCCACATACAGCAGCAAAAAGCAGACACCACAGATCTAAAGTTTAAAAGATGCTTGCTCAAATGTTTAACTGTCAGCTTATGATTTAAATCCAATGCGGAAGAAAGTAGTTCCTCATACAAAAGGGTTTTTGAGACTCTCCATGTTTGTTTTTGTTTTTATATACACAATTATGCCGTCAAACTGTTGTATAAACGCAATAACACACTAGCAGTGCGATATGGCTGTATATCGGTACTGGTGGGAGCACTAAGGCACTCGGCCTGCAGCCTCATGCCAACGCAGTTGGAGAACAGTACTAAAGACAAAACTGGATGGGGATGGGGGGGGGGGGTATTGTATGTATATTCAACTAAATATAATTTGGTTGACATGTTGTTTTGTGATTTTAAATGTCTTAAAATGTGTGGTTAGAATATTTTTATTGTGGGGGCAAAACATACTGCAATGTAATGCAATGGTGAAAGAGAGGTACAATCAAATGAGCCTGATGAAGATCACAATTGATTTATTGTAACACTTTTTTTTTCTAAAATTATAATGAATGGATGATTTAAAATTGAGATAAGCTTCAGTTGGGTACGTTTTATTTTAAAATATTACAATATTATTGTAAGAGCAGCAAATCACATGAAGCTTGGCCTGAAGAGAGAAGTTTTTAAGATGATTTATAGGTGACACCGTTTCTAGAAAGTGAAAGGTCTTTTTATTATCAAAGCCACATCGTAAACTATACAGTAAATCAAAAGGCATTCTGTAAAACAGGTTGATCACGATTTAGATTGTGTATTAAATATAGCGAATATGCTTTAGTTTTACGCAGTATGCAGTAATTTTGATAAGCATATATGCCAAAATGTCTGCAAACGTGTAGTGCGCAGACTGAAAGTGACCTCGTTGACCTTTTATGTGTTTGTTTTGGTGATGCTGGGAGCAGTCTGTGGAAAACTGCGTCTGCATTCTGCATAACCTGAGCTACCAGCTGATTCCGGATCACTTCAAACAGGACACAATCCCACAAGAGAACAGCAAAAAGAGCATCTTTAGCCCCAAGGCCAAAGTCAAAAAGGTACTGAGCTGTTCCAGATGAAACCACTTTTCACAATATGAATGCTGGTTAAAAGGTACTTATGTAAATTTAAGTATTAAATTTGGGGGGGGGGTCATGCTTTGGCCCGGTTCAAGGCAACTGTACATAG